GGAAGGCTGCTCACAAGAACTGCCTTCTCCTCTGTGGCAGCACTTGGATCAGTTGGAGGCACTCAGAATGGAGGGGCAGATGTCCTTTGACACAGCTGTGGAAAAAGGAAGATTTCATGTCACCACTGGACACACGTATCTGAAAAGGGTCTCAACAGTGGAAGGGAGGTCACTCTCAGTCTCTCTTGCTTTATTCTGCTTTCCTCTGCCTCTTTCTGTCACTCTTTAGTCTGAACAGGTTGTGAATTTTCTAAAAAAATATGGAAGTCCTTAAATCATCAAGAATTGCTGGAATTCAAAAAAATTTTCATAAAGAAAATTAGCATTTAATACTTCATAGTGCTAGTTAAAATTATCATTGATTGTTGATTTGATTTTCAGGTCAATAGCACTGTGTATCCTAATTGATCAGTGAAGGCATAATTTACACCTTCTTGTTTCTCCATTATATCCCAGCACCTAACACAGTTGATTTACTCATGCATCCAACACATATTTACTGGGCAGCTATTATGTGCATGTCACCATACTATGTGTACTGGAGGTACAAAGAAAAAGACAACATGGTCCCTGCCCTTCAAAAGTCTATAGTGTAGTAGGTGAGGCAGATACACAAACAAGCATCTTTAAAGAGGGAAGAGAATGCATCTTGGAAAGAAAAAGGAAAGGGTTAAAGGGGAGAGGAGATATCACAAGGGTGACATCTGATTTCACCAGGTGAAGAAAGGGAAGGACATTTCAGGTAATCATGTTGCTGGAGAATGGAGTACATTAGGGAGAGAGGCACGAGATGAACCTGGAACCCTAGATTGGGGTCTAATTGTCAATGGCCTTGTATGCCACACTAAGGAGTTGAGGCCTTTTCAATCAAGAAAAGAAACAGAATGAAGGCTTTTACACTGAGGAAATGACAAGATCAGTCAGATTGGTTTTAGCGTGAGGGATGAACTAGATGTGTGTTGAGTGTGGGTGGAGAGGGGGCAGGGAGATTAAAACAAGGAGGTTCCTTCAAAGTGCCTGCAACAGAAGATGAAGGCCTGAACTAAGGCATAGAGAGGAGGGACTGGATGCGAGAGGCATTTCCAAGGCAGAACTGGCAAACTTCCTGTTACTGCAGTTAAAATGTAGGAGGGGAGGAGCAAACGTGAGGTGAGGATGACTCGAAATTTTCTAGCTTGGAAGATTGGGTTGTTGGTAATGTAATGATCAGAGATAGGGAATAAAGAAGGCAAAGTTGGTTTGAGTTAAATTGCTGTGTCCATTAGGTAATTGAAAATATGGATTCTGAGTTTAGAAGAGAAGCTGGGACTAGGGATTTCAATCCAATGGGAGAGTGTGTGTTAAGAAGACAAGTTCAACGGTAGAGACATAGGGGGCCCTGATATTTAAGGAAAAGGCAGAAGAAGAGTTAAGACTGAAAGAGCGTAGTCAAAGAAATATGACAAAAAAAAAAAAAAGTGGAAGAAAATGGTGTTATCAAGGCTCTAGGAGGCAGTAACATATCAGAGACAAAGATTCTGTGTTTCCACACCCATTTGTGGGGAAGTTAGTCTAGGGACTGTGGCAGGCAGAATAATGGCCCCCTAAGACATCCCTACCCTAACCCCTGGAGCCTATGAATATGTTAGCTTACCTGGCAAAAAAGAATTTTCAAGATAGAACTAAGGTTAAGGACTTTAGAAAGTATTCTTGATTATTTGGGTAGGCTCGATGTAATCACATGAGCCCCTAAAAGTAGAAGATGAAGGTAGAAGAATAGCTGACAGAGATGCCATGATGGAAGAAGAAGCAGGAGAGATTTAAAGTGTGAAGGGGACCAACCCACTGTTGCTGACTTTGAAGATGGAGGAAAAAGGTCATGAGCCAAGGAATGCGGGCAGCCTTTAGAAGCTGGGAATAGTCCTCAGCTGACAGCCAGCAAAGATAGAGGGACCTCAGTCCTACAACTGCTGAGGAACTCTCACATTGAATTCCTTGAATCCCATTCAAGGAACTCAATGCTGTCAATAACCCAACTAAGCAAGGAAACAGATCTTCCCCCAGATGCTCCAGAAAGGAATGCAGTCCTGTTGATACCTTGATATTAGTTCACTAAGTCCCATGTCAGACTTCAGACTTACAGTACTGTAAAATTATAATTTTCTGTTGCTTTAAGCTGCTAAATTTATGATAATTTGTTATGGCAGCAACAGAAAATACAGGAATTAAATTAGGCCAGGCCCCTTACCTGGCACTTTTGTCTCAGATTTTTCCTTTGATGTCAGTGACCTCTATGGATCTATTGTCGGACTTCTCTTCTTCCCCTCCCATATTCTCTGTCCAAGATAGACCCAGGACCCAAATCTAATTCCAAGGGGAAAGAAAAGGCTTAAAGCAAAGATTATAATTTGTTAGTTGGGCTGTGGGCCAATCTTGACCCCTGCCAAATTGTGTCTGACTTGCACAGTATAACAACACATCGAAATTTCCCAGTTTTCCCTTCCTTCCTTTCAAGTAAGAAGGTCTTGCAACACTGGGTTGGCTGACTGTTGCTGTCACAGTGGTGTTCCCCAGTTCTCTACTATGGTCTGTCCCACTCTCTGTCATCTCTCATGGGGTGTTCTACTCATGTATATTATCTGCCTGTATTCTGTAGGTGGGTGACATTGTGACAGTAGCCTGATGCTTGATGTTAGAACATGCTAGATCTGGGAATCTCTACAAGAAGAATGTAAGAAACCAAAGGAAACAATCAGTAAGACTCAATAAAAGAGCAAATATTTTCCTATTCTGCATAGTCATGGTAAGTGTTGTGAGGTCTTCTGAATACCATATTTGTGTGTGCTCTATACCCGTACCTGAGTAGGCCCATGGATGAACATGGGGTATATGCAGAGAGACAGAATTAAGAAACGGGGAGATAGGGCAAGTTGAAATATCTTTCTTTTCCTTAAGTGGGACCCACCTACTCCCACCATGTAGGTTCTGGCGTGCCCTAGTCCTACATGTGAGTATTTAGGCATGTGACCCTGAGTCAGTATCTTATTAGCTCTTCATTAATCACTCTTGTTGCTGACCTAACATTTTTGGTTTCATGCTCTTGAACTGTTCCTTTTTAACCAAGATGTTTCCTGGTATCTCAATCCCAGTAATTGGGCTCTTCTCTATATTCCTTTCTTGGGATCTTGCCTCAGTTCCTTGGCTGATTTTCAGGAACTGAAATTTTGTCTCATGCTCTCTATTTCTTCTATTATTGACTTCCTGCTCTGAAGCCCTAGCCCTGTTATTTTTCTCCCACTCCCCTGGATAGTGCAAACAGTTAAGTGCTCAACGACCAGCAGAAAGGTTGGCATCTTGAAACCACCCAGAAGTGCCTCTAAAGACAGGCCTGGCAATCTGCTTCCAAAAGGTCACAGACTTGAAAACTTTATGGAGCAGTGGTACTCTGCACACACGGGGTTGTCATGAGCTGGAATCAACTTGATGACAATTAACAACCACAGTAATCCGTCTGCGTTTTCCTTGCACTGAATGCTCACCTCGCTGGACTTTCTCCTAGTGGCCTAAGAGGCCCTCCACCCCTTGCCTACATCCAGACCTCCTTGATGGTCGTGTCTGCCTGCAGTCTCCCTAGACCTCCTGCAATCACAGCCCCACCCAGATGGTTTCCCAGTCCTAGGTGTCCATGAGCCCTGTTCTGACATCACACCATTATCCACCCTTGAGAAAAGTTTAGAAAAGAGCAGTAAACTGTGACTTCCTTGTTCTGCAGCCCAAGAAGACAACGAGTTAACCTCCCCAATTATCTCAAGTGGCTGCTCATCTAGGAAATTCTGTCATTTTACTCTTGATTTTGTTCAAAGGATAGAAAATGGACCTAGTCACTCTAAAACTATGACTGACAACAGTTTAGGCCTTTAGGCAAAAAGTTTTGCAAAAAATCTTTATCTATCAATTGACAAATGAACAGAACTCCAAGGAAGATTATTCCTTTTGTGTTTGAAAATTTACATAATAGGTTACCAGGGAATGAGCACTGGACAAAGAATCAGAAGTACCGTGTTCTAGTCCAGACTGCTGTTTACTATCTACTAATGTTGGGGGAGACTTCTGGGTGGTGCAAACAGTGAATGTGCTCGACTGCTAACTAAAATGTTGGAGAGTCAAGTCCACCCAGACACCTCTCAGAAGAAAGGCTTGGTGATCTACTTTTGAAAAACCAGCCACTGAAAACTCTATGACCAATGCCACTGAAAAATTTGTGTAGAAATTATAAAATGGGAACCTAAACTTCTGTGTAAACCTTCACCAAAAACATGATAAAATATTATTTAAAAAGAAAAACCCTATGGAACACAGTTCTACTCTGACACACATGTAGTCGTCATTGAGTCAGAGTTGGAGCCAACTTGACGGCAACTGGTTAAAATCTTGGAGAAGTCACTTACCTTCTCTACACTTCAGTTTCTTCAGGTATAAAATAGCAGGTATCTGCTATGTTTGCTCACAGGGTTGTTGTGAGGATCTACTATGACAAGGATGTGAGTCATTGCACAAATGGTAGGTTCTATCATTAAAAGACACCATGTATCACTTCTGAGAATAACGGCACCTTGCTTCCTATAGTGTTCAGTGATGTTCTACATCCATTTGTCATGGGGTTTCCCCAACAATCCTGAGGCAGCCAGGGATTTGCACAAGGCCATCAGCTGCGGAGTGAGACTAGAACCCAGGTCTCCTGACTCCTAGAGTGGCGTGTTCTTTTGCACACTTACTGTGGAACAACCACCTCTGACAGGACCCCCAGGATCAGGGAGGGCAGAGCTCCTTCTGCTTCTGCTCTCTGCCTGCATCTTACCCAGCAGTCCAGCCCCGCAATATCTGGGCTGTCACCCCGCTCCCCTTCTGGATCTTTCCAGGGGCAGATGGCACCAGGGCAATTCGTTTCTGACCAGAAAAGGCTCTGTCAGTCTTAGGAGGCTTCTGAGAGATGATTTGCCTCTGTTGGGGACCTGACTTGATTACTTCTTCTCCTTTTTGATGTGGGGTAATTTTAGTCTGAAGGGAGAAAGAAGAAGAGCCAGTTATCACAACAGCTGTGAGGCAGCCAGAATTGTGCTCTCTGCTGGTCGTTGCTGTCATTTCCTTGAGGACAGGCAATGGCCAAAACTGAAGCCCTTTGCCTTCAGGATAGGGCCCCTCACATTCTGATTCTCACCTTCCTCCCCAAGAGCTTGTAACCTCTGAAGCCCTGCATTGCTTTTCCAGTGCAAAGAGCTCCAAAGTACCTGGCTTGTCTTCCAGGCATCAGGGCTGGCCAATAATACCTGTGCTGCCCCAAGTCCCTGTTGGACTTGCAGCAGGTGTGAAAAGGGGGGATGGCTGATAAGGAAAGCAGGTTTCCCATTCACAGAGCCTGCTGTCTATAACCTTGACCTTCAAGCTGCCCTTCAGCCCTCCTCAGTTGTGGTTTCCATGACCCCCCCCCCGGTATTCTCCTAGAGCCCCAAATAAGCATCAATCTCACTTTTTTGCTTGTGCAGAAGTGAGCTAGGTTGAATCAGATTTTGGCAGGCTCAGATCCTTTCTGTTCTTACTACCAATATCCTGCCAAGCAGAAGATCAGCTCCTCTATCTTTCCCACCTTATGCCCCTTACCCCAAAGGGCTGGAGTATTAGGGAAACTGGAAATAAAAGGTCATTTGGGACACTCTTCCCCCCAGCAATAGTCTTCTACTTGAAGATGGATCAGGACCCCCAATTTCCTAAAAGTGCTTGGCCTAGTTGGAGGTGGAAGACCACCCCAGAGAAACCCTTCCCTAACTGCCCCGACTACTAGCCTCTCAGGAGGCAACAAGCTCAACTTCTTGGTTCTACATGAAGAGGTGTGTCAGAATGTGGAACTAGGTCTCTGGTAAGCCTTTCCTCTGTCTCCCAATAAACACTTGGACAAAGCAGCTCTGAACTGAAGCAGAGGTTCCCCGGCTCTTGCCTACCCTGGGAGAGGATACAGCTGCACGATGGATGGCTCATGTCGCAGCTGGGAAAGGTTGCTAGATGAAGCTGAAGACAAATACAGAGAGAAACCGCATCAGAACTCATGGCACAGACACAGTCCTTGGAGGACCTCCAGCCTGGGAGGGCCATCCAGGAGAGCTTCTAGGGAACACCTCCAGGGCTGGCTTTGGGAAAATGAATGTAAAGCAGGGATGCCCCAGGAACATCTAGGAAATCTGGTGCATCTGTAGCACGTTTTTGTCCCAAGAGACATTTCATCTGAATGTAAAGGTCATAATGCCAACCCCCATAGGCCTGTTGTTGTTGTTATTAGTTGCCGTCGAGTCGATTCTGACTCATGACGACTCCATGTGTGCAGAGTAAACTGGGCGCCATAGAGTTTTCAGGGATGTGACCTATTGGAAACAGATCACCAGGCCTGTCTTCTGAAGCACCTCTAGGTGGGTTTGAACTGCCACTCTTTTGGCTAGTAGTCGAGCAATTAACTGTTTGCACCACCCAGGGACACCCTCATAGGCGTAGGAAAGTAAAATAATGAAATTGGATGAGATGAACACTAGACTAATGGGCAATACTCCACGGTGACTTCTCCCATTAAGCAAAGAGGAAACAGATGCAAATGGGCTGGCCAGTCAAGCTGGCATTCCATGCCTGTGAGAAGCAGTATCCACAACCTGAAATGAAAGCTGACAATTGGGATAGCAAGGAAAGGCTTGTTGGGAGACATCATGCAGAAATGAAGGCAGGCTTAGTGCTTGGGGGTGGGATTGACTCTTTGAGGCTGAAGATGGGAAAGAAAAAGAATATAATGTGATCCTACTATAGGAGACTAGGACCACAGGATTTATTACAGGGATAAGAAGACCAGTAGCAGGAGCCTCCAGGAAGCAGGAGGTATGGGATGGAGGTCCTGCTCAAACCAGCAGGTGGTCTCTGTGTGATGGAAAAATGACATTTGGGGTATTATGATTGTCACTCAATAAAGATCACATACCATGGCCGAGAATGGGCAGAGGCATCAGCAGAGGTATAGAGAAGCTTAAGGCACCTGCCTTTCCAGGGCAATATGACAATAAAGAGGATACGTTCATACAAATGGGAGCTGTGTGTGGACAGAGCTCTGCAAGAAGAGTCAGGAGATGCACTTTCTAGCCCATCTCTGCCACTTACAAGCTGTGTGATCTTGAGTAAGTCACTTCATATTTGGTGGTCTCAGTTCCTTCATGGTCAATAAGGGGACTGGACACACTGGCCTTAAAGTCACCCTCTAATTGAGCAGTGGACTTTTAACATTAGTAGAGTTCCAACTCTAAACTTACAGTTTTGGGCTGCTGGACTTGCTGCCACTTCCCGCTGCTGAGGGCGAAACCACTCAATACCTCTGAGCACGCTGAACCTCAGGACAGCGTGTTCTCCTGGGAAAGAGAAGGGGCAGGGGGCATTCAAAACTTTTACAGCAACATATGACAAAGTACATATTTCTAAATAAGCAAGAAAAGAGCTTGCTTCATAATCCTTATGTTATAGGATGTTAGAGCCGGAACATTATATGAATCCAAACCTTTATATCTCAGATGAGGGGTCTGAGGTTAAGCGAGGGTGAAGCAATGTGCTTAAGGTCACTCGGCTCACACGTGAAGAATCTCTAGGCCTGGAACCCAAGTGACCTGACCCCCTTAATTCAGGGCATACTGCTGCCCTCTTCCTTCTTTTGACACCAGACGAGATTTGGAGATTCACTTCCCCGGAGCTCAGATGTAGGAAGTAAGCCAAAGACTTGGAGCTCTTTGCCCCAGGATGAAATTTGGACTTGAAGTTGATTTAAGATTTTGAAGATGATATGATGGGGTGAAAATGTTTTACATGTGGCAAACACATGAATTTTGGGGGGCCAAAGGGTAGAATGTCATGGATTGAGTTGTGTCCCGCCAAAATACAGGTCAACTTGGCTAGGCCCTCATTCCCACTATTGTGTGGTTGTCCTCCATTTTGTGATCTAATGTAATTGTCCTGTATGTTGTAAATCCTAATATCTGCCTGTGGTTCATGAAGCAAAATTAGGTTATGTTAAAGAGGATTAGGGTGGGATGTACAACCCTCACTCAGGTCACAGCCTTGATCCTATGGAGGGGTAGTTACCCTGGGGAAACTGCATCACCTTTTATCTTGTAAGAGATAAAAGGAGAGAGAAGCTAGCAGAGAGAGAGGGACCTACTACTACTAAGAAAGAAGAGCTGAGGTGGAGCATGTGCTTTAGACTCAGGGTCCCTCCTAGACCCGGGGGAAGACTGATGCCAAGACACATGGAGATCTCCAAGGAACGCTGGGCCCACAGATGTTGAAAGGAGACGAAGACCTTCCCCCAGAGCCAACAGAGAGAGAAAGCCTTTCCCTGAAGCTGGGGCCCTGAATTTGGACTTCTAGCCTCCTAAACTGTGAGAGAATAAATTTGTGTTTGTTAAAGCCATCCATTTGTGGTATTTCTGTTATAGCAGCACTAGATAACTAAGACAGAATTAGGGACATTTTCTCACTCCTCTGAACGAATATTTTTCTGCCCTATTGGCCACCTCTCTCTCTTTTTCTCTTACTATTTCTTCCCTCTTCTCCCACCCCTACCATCATCCTAAATAGCTCTCCCAACCACAGGGATATTTAGCTTCATGTTCTGAAGAGATTAAGGGCAATGATGTTTCTTTGGTAGAATTCTCGCCTTTCAGGAAGGAGACTCAGGTTCAATTTCCAGCCAATGCACCTCATGAACAGCTACCGCCCATCTGTCAGTGGAGGCTTACATGTTGCTATAAGCTGAACAGGTTTCAGTGGAGCATCCAGACTAAGATGAACTAGGAAGAAATGCCTGGCAATCTACTTCCAAATATCAGTCAATGAAAACCCTATAGATTTTCTAATCCGCAGCTGATCGTGGGCAGCATTTCACTCCATTGTGCATGGGGTCGCTATGAGTCAGGGATGACTCGATAGCAGCTAACAACAGCAGTTGAAGGGATTGCTGATTTCTGTCTGCTGAGGTGACATTTGCAAGGCAGAGACAAGGATACTAAATAAAGTTTATTGACCATCAGGGCTGCTGCAGTCACAGAGGGAGGAGAATTGTTTCCTACTGAGTTGAGGACCCTCTCAAATGGTCTACACGGCTCTACAGCAAGCCAGAGTTGCTTCCTGACAATACAGGCAAGGCTGAGGTTGATTTAGGTCTCAAGGATCTACATCTACACTCCAAGAAGGGGATAGTGCTTGTTCATGAGAGCCGTTGTAGGGATAGGATAGGTATCGTGGAACTTGGACACGAGCATCCAGCAAGGTTGAGCTGAAGCAAATGGAATGCTCAGCTCCATCTTGGTGTGGTTGGCTGCTGTTTTTTTTGCTTTTATATTTGATTGTGAGGTCATTGAATATGCACATATGCACCGCTCTAACACATACTGTGAACCTCTTTTGCACAGTTTCTCATCTTATGCCACAGTTCAGAGACATGAGGAGCTCCTACAGCATGCCAAGTGCCCTAGACATCCAAACTACACTCAAGAAGTTTCCCAGCGACCTGTATGGAAAAGAAATATGGCCAGCTGCTAGGAATTCTCTGAGGGCATCTGGGGTCATCCCTGCCTCTCTGTATACATCAGTATATGTCAAAACCAGTTAATGTCTCTCTCTCTCTCTTTTGCACACACACAATGCACACACAATTCTAGTTACTGTTTTTAATACCTCTGTCCTATTTCCATATTGTTCTTATGTTGGTACTGCTTCCAGATGCACAGAGCTGTTCTCCTTGGTTCCCAGAAATTTCTACTGCAGAGATACCTAGCCTTGCCCTTGCTGGGCACTGCCCTGCACATCCTCCTCCCTGTAATCAAAATTCCCTTTTGTTCAAGTACTGATCTCAGTGCAAGTAGCCAGTATGGGGAAAGGAACTGGGTTTAACTCATCTGTACTTAGGTGTGCATGCTAACACTGGGCTTAATGCTTAACCCTTCCACAGGAGTCCTTCACCAAAAGGATCTCTTTCTCTCTTTTACTTTTTTTCTTGATTATAAAATTTATGTTTACTATATAAAATATAGACAATATAGAAAAGTAGAAAATATGTATATAAACCGTTCATAATCATACCACCTAGAGATAATCCTATTAATACTTTTATTTTTATTTCCAAGTTTTTTTCCTATGCTTTCAGAAAAATTACCCATACATGAGTTGAGTGCATTTCGACTCATGGCAACCCCATGTGACAGGGTAGAATGGCACCATAGGATTTCCTGGGCTGTAATCTTTACAGGAGCCGATGGCCAAGTCTTTTTTCCCACAGAGCTGCTGTGTGGGTTTAAGCTACTGACCTTTTGGTTAGCAGCCAGGTGCTTATTGATTGTGCTACCAGGGCTCGTCATATATATATTTACCACATTCAAATCATACTTAAAGTTCAATTTTTTGTTTTCTCACTTAACACTATAAAATAAATGATGCCCAAATAGAGGGGTTTATGGAGTGCATTGGAGCAGGGGGCTTCATAGGCAACAATGGAGCAGGTCACCACCTCCGTTTACCCACCACGTAGGTTGTGACGGGCGTGCTCAGAAGCATCCTGGGAGTTAGTGTTGGGGAGTAGTATATGGGTGGGGTGTCTTCTTGCTAGCACTGCTAACCACAGATAACTGAGGGTTCCTGCCTACCCCTCTAGCAAACAACCTCTGTGATGTCTTATGGTTGACCCCTGGGCCCTCAATTTCTCTTCCCAAGTCTCATTCTCTAGGGAATGGGACAGTGAGTCATGGTGGAGCTTACCTCCACTCCAAGGAGGGTACTTGAACACAGGTTTAGGAGGAAATTTTTTATCCTTGAGCTTCTTCCCCCTGGACTGTAAGTAAGATCTGATTTCCTTCCAAGAACAAAACCTGTGAGAAGAAGAGCTCTGGTCACAGGGAGAAAACCACCAGCTGAGGGGGCTGGGACCAGGCCTCACAGAGTGCGAAGTGTAGAACAGAGAAGAGCAGAGGGTCCTGGCCTTGGAGTGCTGCCTGTCAGAGGCCCTTCCTCTGAGGTCCTCTCCGTCCAGACCTGGCTCCAGCGAGGCCCTGGCAAGGGCAGGCAGTATGTTAGGCCTTCCTTCTCCACTAGTGAATGGAGTCTGTAAAGAGTCTGCTGTGTACCTATGCCTGGGTGGAGTTGATCCCCAGGGTGCATCAGGCTGTGGTACCTTTATCTAACCCCACCTGGCACAGCCAGAGAATCTGACTGTACTTATAGCAGCACTAGATAACTAAGACAGAATTAGGGACATTTTCTCACTCCCTGGTTTCCATCCTTTACCTCACTGAGAGCCTTGTTTCCCTTACCTCATTCCCAACAGCCCTTTTCCCTGGAATGGACTCTAGTTCCTCACATGGACTCAGACTCACATACTTGCTGTAACCTGAGAACTGTTGATCCCTAAACACCCTCACAAACACTCTGCGTCTGTTTCTCCCTGATCCCCTAACCCCTAGTTATCCCTGCCCTTGGCTTGCCCTTGGATTGGACCTCTTGAAGATCAGTCCTGGCTAAGACTGAATTTATTTTCTATGCTACCTTGGTGCCAGTGGTCTCAACTGTTACCCTCTACCCCGGTCTCCGTGGTGCAACCTAGTCTATCACAGTTGGTTTCTCTCGTTCTACTCATGAACTGGGTCTCCCTCTCATTATAGATCTCCCAATATGCCAGGGCTGCATTATTTATGACAGTCAAGAGAATAAGAGACCTGGTTTCTAATCCTGGTTTTTAACACTTACCAGGTATGTGATCCTAGGCAAGTCCCTTAACCACTCTGAACCTCAGTTTCCTTATCTGTAAAATAGGGATAATAATTCTTTGCTCTACTCACTTCACAGGATCATTGGGAGGTTCATTTGAGATAATATACGTGAACACAGTTTGCACAATATAAAGTTCTTTATAAGTGAAATATGGACGCAGCTAAAGGACCAACTGCATGAGGATTAGGGATTCAAAACCTCCCTGAAGCATCCCCAAACTTCCTAAATACTTACGAGGAAGAGCTGAGCACAGACTCAAGCCAGGAGTAGCATATGTTTCTCAGAGGTTCTTGAAAAAATTTCGGGAAAAAGTTTCAGGAACAATTTCTATTTAGTTCTAGTCAGGAGAACTGAGTTAACTCATTCAGTGCTAGATAACAATTGATACTGAAAAGGCTAAACTCTTTATTTTGAACATAGGTTTCTTTCAATACCACTTTAAATAATGTGTTATCTTAGGGTTTTAAAAATAAAGATTGGTGCTGAGTGACAGCATTTACACTTCTATTTTAATGAAGTAACTTTTTTTTTTTTTTTTTTTTAACAGGGAAGGGGGGAACACTAAGAGCCTGAAATGTTGATAATCTCAACATCCCAATTAGCCTTGTCTGGGGAAATTTCAGCCGGGTGTCCTCTGTTTACCACCACCCAAGGCATTACCATTCATCAGGTGGAAGATATGAATTGGAAGCATGGTGGCACTTAAGAGTAAATAACCAGCTGGGAGAACCTTGGCGCAATCTCTCAGCCCAAACCTTGACAGCACAGGTTAGGAACCAGTTGGCCATGGGTTGCATTTTGCCTGCAGACATTTTGTGTGCTTGTTTCATTTTTGTTTTTGGCCTTCACATGTTCCTCACCAGTTTTAATTTGCTACTTCAGCCTTAGTAGATATGACATAAAATTCTGTATTTCTATTTCTTGTTGAAAATTGGACTACCTAGCAGCTCTGCCTCACAGTAGTAATTACGGGGATTTGGACATTACCGAGAAAAACACTTCTGGCTTACTTCCTCCATGATGGTCCTTAAGCACAAACACAGTTATGTTAACCTTCGTAAAACTTCTCCCCAAATAGCTATAGTCCACCCTCACCCATGAGCAAGGAATCTAGGCCTAAGAGAAAGTCACACTTGTGTTCCAAAGTAGTGGTATATCTAGGGTATTGCACTGGCCCTGGGCAATGTTTGGCTCTACTGAGCAGTTTCTATTAATCCAGTACGGCCCAAAGTCCTTCCTCAAGCATGATAATGTATTAATTAAAAGAGTAACGAGCATGACTTGTATTATTTAGCTGATACTATGGTAAAGTTATCTAAAAGGTGTGTCAGATGTTTGGACGGGGCATAATTTCAGTGCTTCCCATAGGCGTCATTTTCTGTAGATACACCACTGGCCATACTGGATTAATAGAAACTGCTCAGTGGTGCCACACGCCCAGGGCCTGTGCCTTCCATCTTCTGATTCAGTGTAGTGTGTGAGTATGAAGGACAGACAGCAATGTAGCAAGAAGGATAAGATGCAGTATTTGAAACTGCATGATATCCTCCATGAAACTGTAGACTATACAACCGAAGTCTAGAGGAAGACAGAAAACACTCTAAAAAGTTAACCCTGTTTTCCTGACCTTGTGATCCTCAGGTAAAGGAAGATAGTTACCTTTTCCAGAAGTGCATAATGATGGGGAAGAGAGACATGACAGCCCCGTGGAAGATGGTCCGATCTAGGTGTCCCTCCAAAATGGCAGCAAGGATGGCTTCCTTCTGGGACTCAGAGATATTCACCTACCCACAGAGCAAGAGCCCATCACTAGAAGAGGCTCTGGGGAAGACAGCAAACCTCTCTCGGCCCCCCAGGATCCTCAGGACCACCCCCTCTCCAGAAGGCAGGAGAATATTTTCATGGGGCTGCTAGGCAAAATACACCTGGTTGACCCAGGATATAGGAGATGTCTGATAATTAGCTTTCAGGCTCCTTGTGGGGGAAACGCTTTTTGGCAAAAGGCCGGAACAGAGTGGGAGTCCCCCTTACCCTGAGTTTCGGAGGGACCTCAGATTGCAGATAGAGCTTTAGGATGATGTTAATTTTGGATCTCATTAGGATCACATCATTCTCGTTGCATGCCCGGTTGGCCTGCAGCGCTTGAGATGAACTCACCAGATCGTTAAATCTGAAAAGAGGCATTAAGTAGGAAACCAACATGAAAAAGATAAAAGCTGTGACTAGACAGGACACCAGACCCAGACCTACCTACTGGCCTAGAAAAAGGCAGGACCAGTCCTGGGTCAGGTTGTGACTTCATTTGTTCAATCAGAATTTATGCATTGGCAAAGAATAATTGAGCGCCTACCACATGTCAGATAATATGCTGTGTTCCTTCAAGTGTATTTCTTCAACACATATTCCTTATTTATCCCATCCTCCGTTCTTTACCCATCCTGGCCGCTGTAGCCATTTCTCTCTCTAAGTGCTAAGAGACATCTTGCCTCTCCTGTGCTGACTTCCCTACAATCACCACCACCCATTGGAACAACATATTCTTTTGAATATCATTGCTGTCAAGTCGAATTCTGACTCCTATGACCCCATAGGACAGAGTAGAACTGCCCACAGGGTTTCTGAGGCTGTAAATCTTTACAGAAGCAGACTGCCACATCTTTCTCCTGCAGAGCAGCTGGTGGGTTCGAACAACTGACCTTTCAGTTAGCAGCTGAGTGCTTAACCGCTGTGCCACCAGAGCTCCTATTCTTTTACTAACCATCAAATAACTCAGTTATACCTTATATAAAATTAATTTAAGTACACATTCTTTCTTTCAAGCAAGTAAAAACTTTTTTATTGTGGTAAAATATATATAACAAAATTTGCCATTGTAACCATTTTTAAGCATACAATTCAGTGGCATTAATTTACATTCACTATGGTGTGCAGCCGTCACCACCATCTAGTTCAAAAACTTCTTCATCACACCAAGCAGAAACTCTATACCCGTTAAACACTAACTCCCCATTCTCCCCACCTCCTAGCCCCAGGTAATCTTTAATCTACTTTCTGTTTCCATGAATTTGTCTATTCTAGATATTTCATGTAAGTGGAATCATGCAATATTTGTCCCTTTATGTCTGGTTTATTTCACTTAGCATAATGTTTTCAAGGTTCATCCGTGTTATAGCATATATCAGAACTTCATTTATTTTTATGGCTGAAAAATATTCTATTGTATGGATATACCACATTTTGTCTATCCATTCATTTGTAGATGGACACTTGGGTTGTTTCAATCTTTTGGCTATTGTGAATAATGCTGCAATGAACACTAGTGTACAGGTATCTGTTTAAGTCCTTGTTTTCAAGTCTTTTAGGTATAGACCCAGAAGTAGAATTACCAGGTCATATTAACTTTTTGAGGAACTGCCAAATGGTTTTCCACAGCATCTGCACCATTTCACACTCCCACTAGAAATACATGAATGTTCCAATTTCTCTACATCCTCACCAACACTTTCTAGTTTCTGTGTTTTCTGATAATAACCATTATAAAACCCATTGCTGTCAGGTCGATTCTGACTCATAGCGACCCTATAGGACAGAGTATAATTGCCGCATAGGATTTCCAAGGAGTGGCTGGTAGACTTGAACTGCCAGCCTTCTGGTTAGCAGCCAAGTTCTTAACCACTGTGAAATTGTATCTCATTATAATTTTGATTTGCCATTCCCTAATAACTAATGGTGTTGAACATCTTCTCATGTGCTTGTTGACCGTTTGTATATCATCATTAGAAATGTCTATTCAACCACGGTCTCAGGGAACATCTAGCTCAATTGGTGTAACACAGTTTATAAAGAGAATGTTCTACATTCTACTTTGGTTGAGTAACGTCTGGGGTCTTAAAAGCTTGTGAGAGGCCATCTAAAAATACTCCACTGGTCTCACCCCGTCTGGAGGAAGGGAGAAAGAAGAAAACCAAAGACACAAGGGAAAGATCAGTCCAAAGGACTAATGGACCGCAACTACCATAGCCTCCACCACACTGAGTCCAGCACAGCCAGACAGGTGGTGCCTGGCTACCACCACCAATTGCTCTGACAGGATCACAATCCACAGTCCCGGACAGAGCTAGACAACAATGTAGAACAAAATTCTGACTCACACACACACACACACACACACAAATACCAGACTTACTGGTCTTACAGAGACTGAAGAAACCCCCAGATTATGGCCCCCGGACACCCTTACAGTTCAGTATTGTCACTCCCAAAGTTCACCCTTCAGCCAAAGATTAGACAAGTCCATAAAACAAAACAAGACTAAATGGGCACACCAGCCCAGGGGCAAGGACGAGAAAGCAGGAGGGGACAGGAAAGCTGGTAATGAGGAACCCAAGGTCGAGAAAGGGAGAGTGTTGTCATGTCGTTGGGTTGGAACCAATGTCACAAAACAATATGTGCATTAATTGTTTAATGAGAAAGTTGTTTGTTTTGTAAACCTTCATCTAAAGTACAATTTAAAAAAAATGTGTATTCAATTCCTTTGTCCATTAAACCCTTATCAGATATATGATAAATATTTTCTCCCATTCTGTAGATTGTGTTTTTACTTCTTTGGTAATATCCTTTGATGCACAAAAGTTTTTAATTTTGATGAAGTCCAATCTACCTATTTTTTTATTTTGTTGCTGATGCTTTTGATGTCATACTTCAGAATCCTCTGCAAGGAAGATTTACTCTTATGTTTTCTTTTAAAAGTTTTATGATTTTAGCTGTTATATTTAGGTCATTGATCAATTTTGAACTAATTTTTATATATGGTGAGAGGGAAGGGTTCAACTTCATTTTACATGTGAAAATCCAGTTGTCCCAGTACCATTTGTTTAAAAGATTATTCTTTCCCCATTAACTGGAATTAGCACCCTTGTCAAAAATCAATTGACCATGGACTTATGGGTTTATATCTGGACTTTCAATTTCTATTCCATTGTTCTGTATGTCTATCTTTATGCCAGAATTACGCTGTTATGATTATTGTAGCTTTGTAGTCAATTTTGAAATTAGGAAGTGTGAGTACTCCTACTTCTTCTTTTTCAAGATTGTTTTGACTATTCAAGGCTCCTTGAAATTCCATATGAATTTGAGGACTGGCTTTTCTATAAAAAAGATGTTGGAATTTTGATAGGGATTGCATTGGATCTGTAGACCAACATGGGTAGTATGGACAGTTTAACAATATTAAATCTTCCAATCCAGGCACATGGAATGTCTTTCCATTTATTTAGGTACTCTTTATTTTCTTTCAGCAACGTTTTATAGTTTTCAGTGTACAAGTCTTTTACCTGCTTGGTTAAGTTTATTCCTAAGTATTTTATTCTTTTAGATGCTATTATAAATAGCATTGTTTTATTAATTTCCTTTTCAGAGTGTTCATTACTAGTGTATGGAAACACAATTGATTTTTGTGTATTGATCTTTCACCCTGCCACTTTGCTGAATTGTTCTATTAGCTCTTGTAGCTTTCCTGTGGATTCTTTGGGATTGCCTATATATAGAATCAAGTCATCTGCAAATAGAGATAGTTTTACTTCTTTTCCAATCTGAATGCCTTTTATTTCTTTTTCTTGCCTAATTACTCTGGCTAGAACTTTCAGTACAATGTCGAATAGCAGTGGTGAAATTGGCCTCCTTGTCTTGTTTCTGATCTTCAGATTGAGTATGATGTTAGCTGTGCGTTTTTCATACACGTACTTTACTATGAAGACAGCTCCTTTCTATTGCTAGTTTTCTGAATTTTTTTTATCATGAAATGGTTTTGGATTTTTTTCCTAATTTTTAAAATTTTGTGAACACATAGGTAACATTTGTCATTTCAACAATCTTCTTGTGTACAGTTCAGTGACATTAAATATGTCCATCATGTTGTTCAATCATCACCATTAACTGCTCCTGAAAGGTGTTAGATTTAGTCAAATGTCTTTTTCTGATCCAATTTAAATAATCATGTGATTTCCTCCCCCCACTTTGTTCTGTTAATGTGGTTGTATTACACTGATTGATTTTCTTACATTGAACTATCATTGCATTCCTAGGATAAATCCCACTGGGTCATGGTTTAAAATCCTTTAAATACGCTGTTGGATTTGGTTTGCTAGCACAAGTAGCCCCCGGGTTATGAACAAGATCTGTTCCTAAGTCTGTCTTTAAGTCGAATTTGTAGGTCAATCAGAACAGGTACATATGGTTCTTATTTAGTGTCAATTAAACAAATGTTTATCTTAGTATATAGCATACATTTTAACTTTCTACGCATACGAAACACTAAAGAAACACTTCCAAACCACGCGATGTTTTCACGAGCATCACAAAGTAGTGCATGCATTTGTTATTACACACCATTGTATTTAACTCAAATTTTTAATATCATAGGCTTTATGGCAGTCTCTTCTTAAGTGTGGTTGTCCCTAAGTCAGATGTTCATAACCCAGGGACTGCCTGTATTTTGTTGCAATTTATGCATCTATATTAAGAAAGGGTATTGGTCTGTAGTTTTTTTTTTTTTTTTTTCCTTGTGATGCTTTACCTGGCTTTAGTATCAGGGCAATGCTGGCCTTACAGAATAAGTTAGGAAATATTCCATTCTCCTCTATTTTTTGAAAGAGATTGGAAAGATTGGTGTCATTGCTTCTTTAAATGTTTGGTAGAAATCAGAAGTAAAGCCATCTTGTCCTAGATTTTTCTTTGCTGGGAGTTTTTTTTTTTTTTTGTCTGTTTACTCTGTTTTTTTTTGGCCTCGTGATAATTTTTTTTTTATTGTACTTCAGGTGAAGGCTTACAGAATAAATAGTTTCTCATGAAACAGTAGTACACATATTGTTTTATGACATTGGTTAACAACCCCACAACATGTCAACGGTCTAACTTCTCAACCTTTTTTTTTTTAGTGAAAATACACATAGCCAAAGATACACCATTTCAAAAATTTCTACATGCACAGTTCAGTGACACTGACTACGCTCTTCCAGTTGTGCTGTTATTCTCACTTAAGATGAAGGCTTACAGAACAAAATAGTTTCTCATTTAACAGTTACTACAAATGTTGCCCTATGACAATGGTTAACAATCTCACAACACATCAACAGTATCCTCACCCAACCTTGGGTTCCCTATCACCAGCTTCCTTCTCCCCTTCTGCCTTCTGGCCCTTGTCACTGGACTCCTGTACCTCATTAGTCTCATTTGGTTTTATGGGGTGGTCCACTCCTAGGCTGAACAGTGAACCTCGGAGGTAACTTCACCACTGAACTAAAAGGGTGTCTGGGGGCCATATTCTCGGGGTTTCTCCAGTCTCCTTTAGGCCAGTAAATCTGGTCTTTTTTTTGTGAGTTAGAATTATGTTCTACATCCTTCTCCAGCTCTGTCTAGAACCCTCTGTTGTGATCCTGGTCAGAGCAGTCAGTGGTGGTAGCCGGGCACCATCTAGCTGTATGGGACTCAGTCCGGTGGAGGCCTTGGTAGCTGTGGACAATTAGTCCTTTGGACTAATCTTTTTCTTGTATCCTGTTCTCTTCATTCTCCCTTGCTCCCGAAGGGATGAGACCAGTGGAGTATCTTAGATGGTCGCTCACAGGCTTTTAAGACCCCAGACACTACTCACCAAGGTAGAATGTAGAGCACTGTCTTTATAAGGTGTGTCATGCCAGTTGAGCTAGATGTTCCCCGATGTTGGGAGGTTTTTCATTACTGACTCAGTCTTTTTACCTGTTATAGGTCGGTTGAGATTTTTATTTCTTCTTAAGTCAGTTTAGGCAAATCATGCATTTCTAGAAATGTTTCCATTTCATGTAGGTTATCTAATCTGTTGGCATGTAATTGTTTATAATATTCTCTTACAATTCTTTTTATTTCTCCAAGATCAGTAGTAATGTCCTTACTTTTATTTCTGATTTTAGTTATTTTTTTTCTTTGTCAGACTAGCTAAAGGTTTTTAGATTGTATTGATCTTTTCAAAGAACCAACTTTGGTTTTGTTGATTTTCTCTGTTGTTTTTCTACTCTCTATCTCATTCATGTCCACTTTATTATTTCCTTCCTTCTACTAGCTTTGGGCTTAGTTTGCTTTTCTTTTTCTAGTTCCTCAAGGTGTAAATTAGGTTATTGATGTGAAATCTTTTTTTTTTAAATGTAGGTATTTGTAGCTATGAATTTATCTCTGAATCTGCCTTCGCTGCATCCCATAAGTTTTGGTATGGTGTGTTTTAGTTTTCACTCATCTCTAAGTATTTTATAATTTCCCTTGTGATTTCTCTCTGGAGTCATTAGCTGTTTAAGAGTGTGCCACATATTTGTAAATCTTCCAGTTTTCTTTCTGCTATTGATTTCTAGTTTCATTCCATTGTGGTCAGAGAAGATACTTTGTATTATTTCAATCTTTAAATTTAATGAGACTTGATTTGCAGCCTAACATATAGTCTATCTTGGGGAGTGATCCATGTGCGCTTAAGAAGAACGTGTGTTCTGATTTCATTGGGTGGAGTGTTCTATGTATCTGTTATGTCTAGCTGGTTTTAGGCAAAGGGAGCGGGTTTGGACCTTATTCCAGTGGTAATGGGAAGCTATCAGAACATTTTAACCAGGAGAGTGACATGATGTCGTTCATATTTTTAAAAGACCACTCTGACTGCTGTGCAGAGAATAGTTTGTAGAGGTCAAACTATATAGTTGGAGGAAGCGGAGATGATGGTGGTGGGAAATGGTGCAACGGCAGTGTAGAGACTGTCCATCTGAATAGTAGCCCCTTCTGCTCCCCTCTTACCTCCCCCTTACCTTTTTTATCTGACTAACCCCTATTCATTCTTCAAAATTCAGCTTAGGTTTACCTGTCTCCCAAGAAATCTTACCTGAAGCCTAACATTTGTCTAAATGCCTTTCCTGTACCTGACTCTACCATAGCACTTAGCATACAGCTTCCTAATTTTTACTTGTGTCTTGCCTACCAACTCAATTAGTTTATGGAATCTTGGAGAGCAGAAAAAACATCATAGTTGTTTTCTTTGTCTCCAATGCCAAACCAAGCACTCAATATAGAATAAACAACTGATAAACTTTAGTTTGTGGAACTGAAATAAATCTCTCATTGGAGTGGAAGACCTCTTAAACAAACTCTCCTAACTGATGCACTGGGTTAGTTGGTGATGTTCATTTCTTCTAAAAAACATACCAGTGATGCCCATGCCATGCTGACCACATACTGGTGGGCAGTCTCTAGTTCACCCTCACACTTCTGCTCCAACCAGTTGAGGCAGATGTTTACCGAGAGTCATGTTTTCTTCCCAAATATTTTTGCCTATTATGCTTGCTACTATAATTAATAATTTATGTAAGCTGATGAAATATGAATGTGAAATTTGTTGCTTCTATGAAAATAAATTTGAATGCTTTGAAATATTCCAATAGAAGCAAAGAGCTTTTAAAAAAAATTGCTGTTGAGGTGTGTCAGGACAATTTAAAACATAGAAAAAACAAGTATAAAATTACAGAAGGATAACATTGCTTTGCACTAATCTTTACAATTTTGCTCCACTTTAAACCAAAAAAACGATTCTGACTCACGGTGATGCCATGTGTTATGGAGTAGAGTTGTGCTCCATAGGGTTTTCTCAGCTGTAATCTTTACAGAAACAGTTCACCAGGCCCTTCTTACACTGTGCTACTAGTTGGGTTCAAACTGCCAACTTTTACGTTAGTAGCCAATCACAAACTGCTTGTGTCACCCAGGGACTTTGCTCCACTTTACAGAAAACAAAATTAGAACTAATAGATAGCATTTGGAAGGAGCCCAGGTGGCGAAGTGGTTAAATGCTTGGCTGCTAACCCAAAGATCAGCAGTTTGAGCCCACCAGCTGCTCTGTGGGATAAAGATGTGGCAGTCTGCTTCCATAAAAATTTACAGTCTTGGAAACTCTATGGGGGAAATTCTACTCTGTCCTATAGGGTTGCTATGAGTTGGAACTAACTTGATGGCAACAGGTTTGGTTTGTGGTTTTAGATAACATTTTGAGTATAGTTTACACATGGTGCCCTGGTGGCTCAGTGGCTAAGAGCTTGGCTGCTAACCAAAAGGTCAACAGTTTGAATCCACCAGCTGCTCCTTGGAGTTTATACAAGAATAGATCTCAAATTAGTGGAATGGCTTTGGCTTTACATCAAAAGTTTGGCATATGAATGAATGCACATTGACATATTTTAACCTAAATTTCTGTGTAATGTCTCTTTCTCTCTCTATACATATGTGCTTACCCACACGTACATACATGCACACACACACATATACACAAGTCTTATTATTATAATTCCTAGCGGTAACTGAAGAACAACTGATCCAGTGGTGTCACATAAGAAGACTTCTACCATATTTATGAAGAATGAAAAAAATTCTCTGCTTCTTGGGCGTTTACTATTAGAACTGTAGAACACTGAAGAACCTTTAGGAGCTAAAGGCAAGAATGGTGGAAATTGATACAGAGACAGCATTCAGTGGGATTTTCAGATGGAGACTACTGCCTGGCAGGCCTGAAATCACTGTGCCACGTACAAAGCCAAATCGGTCTTTGTCGGGAGGCACTTTGGGTGGAAATCCATGAGGGGAAGGAGAGGTAGGAAACTTACTTTTCCATTTCAGAAAAGAAATATATATCGTTGACCAAAAAGTTGATGGTGATAATCTTGTGGCCAAATATACGGCGCTTTGTAAGTGTTGCTTCTCCATTTTCGTGGTCTGTGCTCCGGACGTTGGAGAGCACTGTGCCTGGGCGTCCTGGTGCATTTACCGGCGCAGAGAAATCTGAGAGAGAAAGAGAAAGGAATTCAACTGGTTTATAAAGCCACTCTTAAGCCTGAAGGCTTCAACTTGGGCATAACTGAAATGAAGGAAAAAAAAAATTGTGGACCATCCTTTGGGTTTTTTTGCAACCTTCATTCCCTACTCCTGGGCTCAACTTTCTATTTAGACTTGATGGACTAATAAGAAGACTGTTGAAAAGGCCATCTGCTCGGATGCTATGACAACACATATTGAGAAAAAAAAAATCACCTTAGCACTGAAAGATATTTGCCCGGTGCTTATCTAATAGAAATATAATCACACTGTAGTTATGCTAATCCCTGACATTTCTGTGGAGGCTGTGAAAACGGAACATGCAGATGTGACCCTTGAAGTGGAGTGCGTAGTTCTGAAGATGTCTATTCAAGGTTTATTGGGGAAATAGTTAAGGAGTAACATAGGAACGCAACACTAAGAAAAAGTTGAAACATGAAGAGTAAAGAAGATTTTTAAAGAAACTGAGGGAAGGAAGGTAAAGAACAAAAAAGAGACAAAAATGAGTAAAGGAGAGCAGAGAAGGTTCTAGAAGGCTTGGATTGTATGTCAGAAATAAGACATTTCTTTTAGGAAATTTCTTGACTAGGGTATATCCAAAGAATACCATCTGTCATGGATTGAAGTTTGTCCCCCCAAAATATTTGTCAACTTGGCTGGGTTATGATTCCTAGATTGTATGATTGTGTACCATTTTGTAATCTGACGTGATTTCCTTATGTGTTGTAAACTCTATCATGATCTAATAAGATGGATTATCGGCAGTTATACGGATGAGGTATACAAGATTAGATAGCGTCTTAAGCCTATCTCTTTTGAGATATAAAAGAGAGAAGCGAGCAGAGACACTTGGGAACCTCATACCACCAAGAAAGCAGTGCTGGGAGCAGAGTGTGTCCTTTGGACCTGAGGTTCCTGTGCTGAGAGGCTCCCAGACCAAGGGAAGGCTGATGCATCACAAGGACCTTCCTCCAGAGCTGACAGAGAGAGAAAGCCTTTGCCTGGAGCTGACACCCTGAATTTGGACTTGTAACCTACTAGACTGTGAGAGAATGAATTTCTCTTTGTTGAAGCTACCACTTGTGGTATTTCTGTTATAGCAGCACCAGATGACTAAGACACCATCCATAGGGATTCAGAGCTGAGAAGAGAACAGTTTGGGGCTGGATATGACAGGTTGACTCAAATTAATTGTCTTGCTAAGTTTAAGAAAATTGTCTAATCTAACTCTAGAATTTACTATTTTTACTGTAAATCCTTTATTCTGTACTGTTTTAGTAATAACTGATGCAGGCACGATGCTCCCTATGGTATGAGTATGATTCCTTTTAGTGTAGTGTTACATATAGGATGGGAGGATAACTACACTATTCAGTAAATACCTAGCACCTCTTATGTCCCAGACACTGTGCTGGGTACTAGGGTTACAGATCTGTATAAGCCATAAGGTCCTTGCCTTACTATTTTACAATCTCTCTCTCAGACTTGAGTTTGTGAGTTTGAAGGAAAAAGAAAATAAGCCAGGCTAAGAGTGGAAGCTGATACAATGGTCAGAGATTTTAGGAAAAGAGGGTACTAAATCCACCCAAGTAGCCTGGGAGCAAAGGTGTGCTATGGTGAGGAGGGGGGCTGGTTTGTAATGTTTCTCTATTTCTGTAGTGTAAAAATCCCTACCATGGTCAATTTCAAGCTACCAGTGGTTTAACAACGACTCACAGAATTCTGAGTATTTTACAATTGTCTTTACCTGAGTCAGCGTGAGTCAGCTCCAGCACACTACTATCTGGGAGTCATATTTGGCCTCTTCCTCTTTCCACATCCAATTAGCCATCTTATCCCACTGATTCTACTTTCTAAATATGTTTCTAATGTACCCGCTCTGTCTCTCTTGCAACCACATCAGTTCAAAGCGCCAGTATCTTTCACTTAATTTATTGTAAAACCACTTAACTCAGGGCCAGGACCAAATTTAGGTGACTGTGGCACCTAGGCCACAAAGTTTAAGGAGACCCTCACTCTCCAGGTGGTACAAGTGCAGGGTTGGAACTTGCACGCACTGAGAGTCAGTGCCTCCTTAACTTTTGTGCCTACCTGCTTCACTTGCCTCACCCTAGCCCGAAACTTGACTTTCACCCTACACTTAACTTTGCTGCCTTCTAGTACATTCTCTATACACTACAGCCCACAATGATCTTTCTAAAACAAATTGGATTTTGTTATTCCTGTGCTAAAACCTTTTTTTAGGACTTCCACTTTTGTTCAAGATGGAGTAACAGGAACCAGATTTATCCTCCCAGTTGAATCAAAAAAATTAGACAAAATACATGAAACAATGGCTTTAAAGACACGGAACATCAGGGAATGTCCCTATCCTAACTTCCAACTAATACTAATCCCCTTCTTCTAATGCTTTGTTCTCTCCCTTATCTCTCGGTCTTCGTACATGCTATTTCCTCGGCTTGGAACAGTCTTCTCCATCATCCTTTTTCTGATTTACTCCCACTCATCCTTCAGAATTCAGTTTAGTTGCTACTTCCTCCAAGAGGCCTTCCATTATCCTGTAGCCTGCTCTTATTCTCCCTGGATTCTCACAGCACTATGTACTTCCTCCCTAGTTAACACTAAATACATTTTGTTATTCTTGTTTTGCTTATGTCCCCTTCTGAAATGTATGCATCACTAACCAATTGCTGTCAGTTGATTCCACCTCATGGTGACCCCGTGTATGTCAGAGTAGAACTATGCTCCATAGGGTTTTCAGTGGCTGATTTTTTGGAAGTAGATTGCCAGGCTTTTCCCGTGAGGGGCCTCTAGGTAGATTCCAACTTCCAATCTTTTGATTAGCAGCTGAGTGTGTTAACCATTTGCACCACCCAGGGACTCTAGCAGGGACAATATCTATCTTGTTCATTGCTTTTTCTTCTGAATCTAGCACAGGGCCTAACACACAGAAGGTAATTTATAAATATCTGTTGAATAAATGAACTGCTATTGAAGTCATGTGATCATTATGGAGACTGACCCTAGACGTCAAAAGGTTCTAATGACTATACAACCAGCTTAGCTGATGTACTTACTTAGGAAAACAGAATAGGGCATAAATATGTGTTAATAATGAGGTCAAGAGCTCCAGGACCCCTGAACCATAGAGACTGTTAGTAGAACTGAAGGAAATACTTTTGGGATTAATTAAGGGTCACTGTATTCTAACCAAACCAGTCGCCCTTGAGTTGATTCCAAGTCACGGCCACCCTATGTGTATCAGAGTAGAACTGTGCTCCATTGGGTTTTTAATGGCTGATTTTTCAGAAGCAGATTGCCAAGGCTTGCTTTTGAGGTACCCTCTGGGTGGACTTGAACCTCCAACCATTCAGTTAACAGCTGAGTGTGTTAACCATTTGCACACCCAGGGACTCCTTATGGAGTGCTTGACTACTAACCCAAAGGTTAGAGGTTTGAGTCTACCCAGAGGCATTTCAGAAGAAAGGCCTGGTGATATAATTCTAAAAAAAATCAGTGATTGAAGACCCTATGGAGCATAGTTCTACTCTGACACACATAGGTCACCACTGGAATCGACTAGACAACTTTTTGTGTGTTTTTTTTAAACTAATTTTATAAGCAGAGTAAAACATTTAAAGTTCTAAGGACCAAATTAAACAACATAAGGAAATAGTTTTGTAACATAGAAGCTCTAGCAGTGTTTTGGACTAAGTAAGCATTCTCCACCTTGCAGCTCTTTGAGCAGAAGCTGTGAGCTCGCATCCTCTCTCAGCAGGCCTGTGGTTGGCTTTTCACTTCGTATCTGGGGTTCTTGCTAGACCTCAGGCTGATAGAAGCATTACACCAAGTACTAAGCTCTGCAAGTTCTTATGTGGGCTAACCCTTATGGATGAAATATCAGCCAGGAAGACGAGTAAACAGCAAAGTGACTTACTTTCCTTGTTATTGTACAGTTCCATGTGAAGATAGGCTTCAAATTCCTGGCGCTTAATGGGATCCAATACACATCTGCGGTACTTGCAAAAGCTCTTGATAAAGCTGATCATTTTCAGCCAGCCCCTCTTCTGGAGAAGGAGAGAGAGGTATGACATTCATTAGTATAGCTTCTTTCCCGAGAGTCTACTGTGTGCCAAAATTTGACATTCATTACATTTATTCCTCACAACACCTCTGTAAAGGATTAATTTATGGAGGGAACTCAGGTCAGAGAGTTTGTATAACCTGCCCCAGATTTAAGCAGCTGGCAGGTGGAAGAATCTGACTTCAACCAGGCATGGATGGGGCCATTACCCATGTTCCTTCAACCAGTCTCTCAAGGGGAAGATTTGAGATGTAATGATTGGCAGACGGAGTGTGAGAGCTACAAACAGGAAGTAAAGAGATCAACGTGACTTAGAAGAAGGGAATATGGCTCAGGCAGACTTTGAAATATTGAAGAAATAAGGAAACAAGTAACATCTTCTCTAAGCACTTAAAAAAGAAAAATAAAATTGCATGCAAACACTTACACACTGTTGTGGATTGAATTGTGTCCCCTAAAAATATGTGTTGTAAATCCTAACCTCTATGCCTGTGGTTATAATCCCATTTGGGAATGGGTTGTCTTTGTTATGTTAATGAGGCAGGATTACTGTACGGTGTGTTTTGAGTTGATCTCTTTTGAGCAATCCAACAAGCAGAGAGTGGAAAGATAGATGCCAAGCCACATGGAGATCTCCAAGGAACCAGGAAACAGGAGCTGAAGAGACAAGGACCCTCCCCCGGAGCCTACAGAGAGAGACAGCCTTTCCCTAGAGCCGGCACCCTGAAGTTGGACTTCTAGCCTCCTAAACTGTGAGAAAATAAATTTGTTTGTTAAAGCCATCCATGAGGTATTTCTGTCATAGCAGCACTAGATAACTAAGACACACACACACACTCGCAAAAGCGTTTTATAAGTTTCTCCATCTGTCTCTTGACAGATGCCCAGTGACCATTCTCCAGTTCATTTACCCCTCAAAAAATTGATATTAAGAGCCAGAAAGAATGTAATGAGATTTCGAGCATCTAGTTCAGTTCTCTCATTCTGCTAAGGGAAACAGAATCTAAGCACGGCTTTAGAGAGCCAGTAGTGACGTAGAAAAAGCACTGGATTTGGGATCAGAAGCTTTGAGTCTGGAGTCTAGCTTCTCCCTAATTGTGTAATTTGGTTCAGTTTACTTAATCTGTGTTTCGGTGTCTCCATGAGTAAAATAGAAACAGTAGTCTTCAGTGTTGTGGTGAGGGTTAGAGGTTATGTATGTAAACCCTAACGCAATGCTTGGCGAAGGGTAGGCATTTGGTACATGTCGGTTTCCTTTGATCTTCGCTTATCTAAAGTCACTGAGCAAATGGCATAGCTGAAATTAAAATGAAGTGTCCTAGTTCTAGTATAGTATTCTTTTCAATACCCTGTATGATCATTTGGAGTCCCTGAGAGGCACAAATATTTAAGCACTTGACTACTAGCCTAAAGGTTGGTGGTTCCAACCCACCCAGAGGTACCTCAGAAGAAAGGCCTGGTGATTGGCTCCTAAAAGTTCACAGCCTTGAAAACCCAGGGCTTCAAACTGATTCCAAAAGTTCAGTCATGGCCGACAGAAACAAGGGCGGCATATGCATTGCACAGCAACCAAAAGCTCTTGCCCATGGCGGCTGACTGCACCTCTTTGAATGTGTGCCACGCTGTCTTTGAGTGGGGCAGTGCTGTTTCCTACTGATTATAAAGTCCCATGGGCACAAGTTTTGGTTGCTATGCAATGTGTATGCCGATCTTGTGTCTGTCGGCCATGACTGAACCGTTTTGAACCATTTCAAAGCCCTGTGAAAGCCCTATGGAGCCGCTCTGCTCTGCACACATGGGTTTGCCATGAGTTGGAATCAACTCGATGGTAACTAACAACAGTAACAACGACATATGATCATTCATCACACCTTGATACGGAGTGGCTTTATGTATGGAGGAAGTGTGGTGGAGAAAGGGGGCAGTAATACATTGTCATATTTCTGGAGTAGTGGATCAATGAGCTTAGGCATTATTTTCAGAGATATGTTCACATAGACTCAGACAGAGCTGGGCTCAAATTTTTCTTACACTAACCAACTCTACAACACATTGAGCAAGTGGTTATTTAAGGGGGATATGTATTCTTCTTTGCTTATACCCTGTGAAGAGACTTTCCTGATTAATATTCCTAGCTCCTCTTTCTTCCCTTCTTCTCTCCTCTTATGAAAGAAAGAGTGAGCTAGATTATTGATGAGTTTGGAAGATGAAAATGTGCATGCCCAGTTCTCAGCCCTTTGCATTCTCTCTCTGGGATTTGCTTGTCTGCAGAGGACTTGTGCTCAGGTCGGCCCTTTGTCATACAGTAAGGGGAGGCCTAAATTGTTCAGTTATGCCAGTGACTGTGTGTGCAAGTAAATCCAATATGGGTGCAGAGAAGGTTATCAAACCCATTTGGACGATCCATGTTCTCTAAATTAGCTTTCAGCAGTAACGAAACTGACATTTTGATCTCCACGTGCTTGACTCCTGGTTCTACTCATGGGTAGAGAAGAGACTGACTCTCTTAAGTTCCCAGTGTAACAATTTCTCTGAGCCTCCGTTGTAAAATGGGGATTTCAAACTTATCACAAAGGGTAATTATTGTGGTGATTCAATAGGCTAACAGTGAAAAGTCTTCTGTACAGTGAGTAATGCATGCTGTTGTTAGTTGCCATTGAGTCCACTGCAACTCGTGATGACGCCATGAACAACAGTCCTGCGCCACCTTCATGATCACTGGTGTGCGCGGGACCATTGCCGTGACCACTGTGTATTTTGAGTGCCTTCCAATCTAGGGGGCTCATCTTCCAGCACTATATCGAACAACATTCTGTTGTGATCCATAGGGTTTTTACTGGCTAATTTTCAGAAGTAGATAGTCAGGCCTTTCTTCCTAGTCTGTCTTAGTTTGAAAGCTCTGCTAAAACCTGTCCACCATAGTTTCCAGCATCATAGCAACATGCAAGCCACTACAGTATGACAAATTGACAGACGGGTGGTAAGGATAATACACAGGCAGTGGTTTTCTTGTTCCCGATATCTTTTTCTCCCTTTCTTCCTCACTGACCTGTGACTCCTGTAGGTAAGTTGTTGCTGTCTTTGAGGGTTTCCTAGGGGAAATTTGTTCTTCAACTTCAACCTCTGGAGGACGCAATGGGAACAAATCTTGGTAATCTTTAAACCTGCCAGCAGGGGACCAAGGATATCAAAGAGGGCAAATTCTGACATTTGAAAGATACCAGTTAAAGCAAAACTATGTCAGCTTTTGTTAAAGCAAAACTATGTCAGCTTTTGGAGGAAGTAGAAATGTGAAAAAGGAGCCTTGGTGGCACAATGGTTAAGCGCTTGGCTGCTAACCCTAAGGTAGGCAGTTCAGACCTACCAGCTGCTCAGCGGGAAAAAGATGTGGCAGTCTGCTTCCACAAAGATTAAAAAACCAAAAACCAAACCCATTGTCTTTTAGTCGATTCCAACACATAGTGATCCTATAGGACCTAGTAGAACTGCCCCAAAGGGTTTCCAAGGCTATAATCCTTACGGAAGCAGACTGCCACATCTTTCTCCCATGGAACAGCTGGTAGGTTCAAACCACTGAACTTTCGGTTAGCTGAGTGCTTAACCACTGACCACCAGGACTCCCTATAAAGATTGGAAACCCTATGGGGCAGTTCTATTCTGTCATATAGGGTCGCTATGAGTTGGAACAACTCGACGGTAATGGGTTAGAAATGTGAAGAGGTGAATGGTGAGACACTCAAAATTACTTTTCTTACCCTTTAAATCCTTTGCTAACATCAGCCTATCCTTCCTGATCAATACTGTGTTGTTCCTTGTTAAGGCAAATAAACAGAAATGTGCATGCATGTATGCGTACGTGTGTGCTGGTATGAGGTTTCAAGATAAGTTTGGCTTTTTTCTTTTGTTGGGTGGCTCTGACAATGGACTCTGATACTCCTTGATCAGTGTGGTTTTCAGGAGCCAATGAGCAGCTCCGGAAAGAGTCATGGCTGTCACTGAGCATACTCACCACTTCTCTTCTAGAGACTTCATGACGTAGCCCTGGATCGTTAACAACGTGGTTGTGCTGATTTGACGCATGTGAGCAATTTCTTTGATAATAGGGGCATTGCACTGCAGCATTTCTTCTAAAAAAATTGCAAGACAGAGAAAAGAATCATCCTCTTGTCTATCATTTCTGAGGTAGCTAGTGTTTTTGTTTGTTTTCATCTTAGAATCTACCTCAGAATCTGACCGGGTTCTGAACAACCCCTACCCGACCCTAACGACGGTTTGACTGAAAATCTCAAAAGCATATTTAAAAATTTATGTGCAAGGGTATTTGTAAAGTAAATACTTACATGGTTTAGATCCATGTGTCCCCTTAAGCATGTCCATTGAGTGCTTAAGTGGAAAGACATTTTTAAAGGACACATTTCTGCAGCTGGTTTGAAATTGTCTTTTTAGTGCATGGTAGGAAATAGGGAGCAAGCAGAAGAATAAGGATTAAAGTGGCTGTATGAAATAATAGGACTTGAAAATTTAGCAACAACAGGATCTGGTACTTCTTTTTCTCTTCAGTCTCATTCAAAATGATGTACAGGACTCAACATCCAGGGACTCAGTGAAGAAATATTTCTTACAAATAAAGATTTGCCAATTTTACCTCTTTTTTCTATTTTCATAAAATGTATAACCTTATATTGGTTTACCATAGCAAAAAACAAATTAATAAACACACCAAAAGCTATTCTTCTTCACATCTATTCATTTGTGCCAAAACAGGAGGCTCTATTCTCATTGCTGTTGCTGTAGATTTATTTACTTCTAGGGTAAGATCATGCTCATCCCCTTTTTCCCTGTAGAATTACTTGCAAAATAAATTTCAATGGGCCAAATGTCCCTCCCACCCTGTTGTTGTTGTGTTGTTAGGTGCCCTAGAGTTGGTCCTGACTCATAACAGCCCTGTGTACAACAGAACAAAACACTGCCCGGTCCTGCACCATCATCACAATCATTGTTATGCTTGAGCCCATTGTTGCAGCCACTGTGTCAATCCATCTCATTGAGGGTCTTCTTCTTTTTCACTGACCCTGTTCTTTACTAAGCATGATGTCCTTCTCGAGGGACTGATGCCTCCTGACACCATGTCCAAAGTATGTAAGACACAGTCTTGCCATCCTTGCTTCTAAGAAGCATTCTGGTTGTACTTCTTCCAAGACAGATTTGTTCATTCTTCTGACAGTCCATGATATATTCAATATTCTTCACCAACACCATAATACAAAGGCACCCTTTTCGTATTCAGTCTTCTTTATTAATTGCTCAGTTTCCCATGCATATGAGATGATTGGAAATACGTTGGTTTGGGTCAGGCGTACCTTAGTCCTCAAAGTGACATCTTTGCCTTTTTAACACTTTAAAGAGATCTGTTGCAGCAGATTTAGCCAATGCAATATGTTGTTTGATTTCTTGACTGCTGCTTCCATGAGCATTGATTGTGAATCTAAGTAAAATGAAATCCTTGACAAATTCAATCTTTTCTCCATTTATCATGATGCTACTTATTGGTCCAGTTGTCAGGATTTTTGTTTTCTTTATGTTGAGGTGCAATTCATACTGAAGGCTGCAGTCTTCGATCTTCTTCAGTAGGTGCTTCAAGTCCTCTTCACTTTCAGCAAGCAAGGTTGTGTCATATGCATATCGCAGGTTGTTAATGAGTCTTCCTCCAATCCTGATGCCACATTCTTCTTCATATAATCCAGCTTCTTGGATTATTTCTTCAGCATACAGATTGAATAAGTATGATGAAAGGATATAACCCTGACACACACCTTTCCTGACTTTAAACCACGCAGGATCTCCCTGCTCTGTTTGAACCACTGCCTCTTGGTCTATGTACAGGTTCCTCATGAGCACAATTAAGTGTTTTGGAATTCCCATTCTTTGCAATAGTATCCATAATTTGTTATGATCCACACAGTCAAATGCCTTTCCATAGTCAATAAAACCCAGATAAACATCTTTCTGGTATCCTCTGCTTTCAGCCAAGATCCATCTGACAACAGCAGTCCAGATGAATCCTCTTCTGAATCTGGTTTGAACTTCTGGCAGCTCCCTGTTGATGTACTGCTGCAACCGCTTTTGAATTATCTTCAGCAAAATTTTACTCGCATGTGATATTAATGATAGTGTTCGATAATTTCTGCATTCTGTTGGATCACCTTTCTTAGGAATGGGCACAAATATGGATCTCTTCCAGTCAGTTGGCCAAGTAGCTGTCCTCCAAATTTCTTGGCATAGATGAGTGAGCACCTCCAGCACTGCATCTGTTTGGTGAAACATCTCAGTTGGTATTCTGTCAATTCCTGGAGCCTTGTTTTTCACCAATGCCTCCAGGGCAGCTTGGACTTCTTTCTGTTATAGCAGCACTAGATTACTAAGACACTTGCATATGAGCAACAGATGGTCTGTTCTGCAGTCGGCCACTGGCCTTGTTCTGACTGATGATAGTGAGCTTCTCCATCATCTCTTTCCACAGATGTAGTCGATTTGATTCCTGTTATTCCATCTGGCGAGGTCCATGTGTATAGCCGCCATTTATGTTGTTGAAAAAAAGGTATTTGCAATGAATAAGTTGTTGGTCTTGCAAAATTCTGTCATGCGATCTCTGGTGTTGTTTCTATCACCAAGGCCATATTTTCCAACTACTGATGCTTCTTCTTTGTTTCCAACTTTTGCATTCCAATCACCAGTTATTATCAATGCATCTTGATTGCATGTTTGATCAATTTCAGACTGCAGAAGTTGGTAAAAATTTTCAATTTCTTCATCTTCAGCATTAGTTTTTGGTGCATAAATTTCAATAATAGTCGTATTAACTGGTCTTCCTTGGATGGATATTATCCTATCACTGACAGCATTGTATTTCATGATAGATTTTGAAATTTTCTTTTTGATGATGAATGTGATGCCATTCTTCTTCAATCTGTCATTCTGGGCACAGTTGACCATATGATTGTGTGATTCAAAATGGCCAATACCAGTCTATTTCAGCTCACTAATGCCTAGAATATCAATCTTTATGCTATCCATTTCATTTTTGATGACTTCCAATTTTTCTAGATTCATTCTTTGTACATTCCATGTTCCAATTATTAATGGATGTTTGCAGCAGTTTCTTCCCATTTTAAGTCATGCCACATCAGCAAATGAAGGTCCTGATAGCTTGACTCCATCCTCAACATTAAGATCGACTCTGCTTTGAGGAGGCAGCTCTTCCCCAGTTGTATTTTGAGTGCCTTCCAACCCCAGGGGCTCATCTTCTGGTACTATATTGGATACTGTTCTGCTACTATTCATAAGGTTTTCACTGGCCAATTTTTTCAGAAGTATACTGCCATATCCTTCTTCCTAGTTTGTCTTAGACTGGAAGCTCCGCTGAAACCTGTCCACCACAGGTGATCCTGCTAGTATTTGAAATACCAGTGGCATAGTTTCCAGCATCACAGCAACATGAAAGTCACCACAGTACAACAAACTGACAGACTAGTGGTGGCCTCCCACCCTAGACAACTAGAAAACAAGACAAAATTCATGAAACAAAGATTTTCAAGCAGACCATTCTCCTTCCCGTTACAACTCTGTTCACAACCCATGTGTAGTGAATATTCTAATTTTGCTTTTTATATCTAGCTTCAGCCTAGTTGATTTGAGGGTCAAAAGACTTGAGTTTGAATTCAAGCCCCACCAATTGCACAAGTTATTTCACTTCTCTGTGTTTCGCCTTCCTCACTGGTACAATGAAGCCATCTATTCCTACCTTACAAGATTATTTTAAGGTTAAATAAAATTTAATGAGAATCATTCATTATACACATAAAAAATGTTGAAATGTTTTGTTATATATGTTTCACCACAATAAAAAGTTTAAAAAAAATTAAATGATATATGTGCAGGTATCTTGTCCTTGACTTCTACTGGTGTTACTACTTTGGATTTATTAATGCTGCCGTTGCCTGCTTTCACTGTTCCTTTTAATCTTTGTTTCTCAGTTCTGCCCCACATGGCCTCTGCACTGTTCTGCACCCTCATGATGCTCACATAAAACAGGCTCTTTCTCAAACTACTCTCCTAAGGCACTGAAGGAAGAAGGAAATGGCGAAGGGGATGCATACCAGCAGAGACTTTGCCGTGGAAGAAAGTCTTCATTACATTTTCAAGGAGAGACTTGTAAAGCTTTTCATTAGTCTCAACACTTATCTTCTGTATGGCTACCAGGAATTGCAGTGGGATGTCAGCCTTCCGTTCTTTGAGGAACTCCTTGAAGTAGTCCAAGTGGTGTGTATTTAGGAGGACTTCTGTCAAGTTTCTGGCAAACAAAAAAGCATCATTTTGGTGGAGAGAAAAGGACTGTGACCCGGGATTCTGTCCTGATTAGGAAACGGGAAGGGCATCTCCCAGGCTACAGGGCCAATAGCCATGGGTGAAGGGCATAGTAGATGAGTAAGTTAATTTGCCAGTTTCGTTAGAGGTAAACTTGAACATCTATGTACCCTTCCTAAGCTTGGTCTAGTTATTTGACAACATCAGTGGAAGAGCAGAGAGGGGATGTGTTTTAAAGGGGATAATTTTTTTTTTTCAAAGGAACTCTCTTTTTTACATTGTGGATAGAAAACAAAATCCCTCACTGGTAGCCATTTGTGTGAGGCAAAGCATGGCTGATCTGACAGTTATTGATCAATATTTCTAAATTTCTGCTGCTAATTTCTTCTTCCACTGTTCCTTAAATATGTTGTTGTTGTTAGGTGCCATAGAGTCAATTTTTGACTCATAGTGACCCCTTGTGACAGAATAGAACTGCCCCATAAGGTTTTCTAGGCTATAGTCTTTATGGGAGCTGATCGCCAGGTCTTTACTCCTGAGAAATCTCCAAGATATCATTTAGCAGCTGAGCTTAACCATTGTGCCACCAGAGCTCCTTTCCTTAAATATAGGTGCTTCTAATATTACATCCTTAATTCTCTCTCTTTTTTTGCCTTATGGCTTTTCCTTGGGTAATCTCTGCCTCCTCTGTGGTTCCACTTTTCATTGATATGAGGAAGGCTGGTGAAACTCTATTATCTAGTTCCAAATCTCTCCCTCGAGCTCCATTTCCAAATTTCAACTGCCTATTGAACCTCATCTTTAGGTCATAGTTGTTATTTACACTTCTCCACACATGACTGCAATTGACAACTTGTTCTTCCTCATTTATTTACCTATTTCAGAGAATAATGCTACTGTAAACATTTGCATGCAAGTCTTTGTGTGGACGTATGCTTTCATTTCTCTTGGGTAGACACTTAGGAGTGGAATTGGCATGTTCTGTGGTAAATTTATGTTTAACTTTTTAAGAAACTTCCAAATTGTTTTCCAAAGCGGCTGCACTGTTTCACATTCACACAAGCAATGTATGAGGTTTCTCTACATCCTTGCTAACATCTGTCATTGTCTTTTTTATCGTAGACATCCAGTAGATGTGAAGAGGTATCTCATTGTGGTTTTAATTTATATTTCCCTAATGACTAGTGATGTTGAGCATCTTTTCATGTGAATAATAGCCACGTGTATATCTTCTTTGGTAAATTGTCTATTCAAATCATTTGCCCATTTTTAAATTGGGCTATTGAAACTTTCATTATTGAAACAATATTTCATTATTGGAAACAAATACTTTATCAAATATTTTAAAGTATTTTCTCCCAGTCTATATTAATTAAGAAATCCTTGCCTAACCTAAGGCCATGAAGATTTTTTCCTGTTTTTATTTAAAACTTTTATAGCTTTAGCTATTACATTTAAGTTTTTAATCTATTTTGAGTTAATTTTTGTGTTAATTTTTTATATGTGGGTATTCAGTTGTCCCCGTACCATTTGTTGAAAAGACTATCCTTTGCCCCTTTGAATTGCTTGGCATCTCTGTGGAAAATCAATTGACAAGAAATATAAGAATTTATTTCTGGACATTTAATTCTACTCCATTGATCTGTGTGTCTATGCTTATGCTGGTACCACACTGTCTCAATTACTGTAGTTTTTAATATGTTTTGAAGTAAGGAAGTGAAAGTCTTCCCACGTTGTACTTCCTGTCAAAATTGTTTGGCTACTCTGAGTCCTTTGCATTTCCATTATACATTTTAGGGTCAGCTAGTCAATTTCTGAAAAAAAAATCTTGCTGGAATTTTGATATTGTGTTGAATCTGTTGATCAATTTCAGGAGAAATGCTACTTTAACATTATTGAGTCTTCTAATCCATAAACATGGACTGCCTCTCATTTATTTAGATGCTCTTTAATTTCCCTCAGCAATGTTTTGGAGTTTTTAGTGTAGAAATCTTGCGCTTGTTAAATTTATTCTAAGTATTTTATTCTCTCTGATGATTTTGTGAATGCAATTATTTTCTTAATTTTAGTTTTGGATTGATAATTCTTATTATTGGAGCCCTGGTGGCACAGTGATTAAGAGCTTGGCTGCTAACCAAAAGGTCAGCAGTTCAAATCCACCAGCTGCTCTTTGGAAACCCTATGGGGCAGTTCTGCTCTGTCCTATAGGGTTGCTATGAGTTGGGATCGACTCAACGGCAACAGGTTTGATTGGTTTGGTTAATTCCTAGTATATCTATCTTGTATCCTGTGACCTTGCTGAACTTTTTTTTTTTTTTTAGATCTAATAGGTTCTCTTGTGGATTCCTTAGGGTTTGCTACATACAGGATCGCTTTGTCTGTGAATAAAGACAATTTTACTTCTGCCTTTCCAATCTGGATTGTTTTTTCCTGATTGTGCTGGCTAGACTGTCTAGTACAATGCTGAATAGAAGTAGCAAGACCAGACATCCATGCCTTGTTGTTTATCTTCGGGAAAAATAATTTAGTCTCATACCATTAAGTAATGATGTTAGCTACAGATTTTTCATAGGTGTCCTTTATCAGTATGAGATGGTTCTCTTCTATTCCAAGTTTATTGAGAGTTATTATCTTGAACGGGGCTTAGATTTTGTAAAACGCTTTTTCTACACCAGTGGAGAATACCATGTGACTGTCCCCCACTTATTCTATTAATATGGTATATTACATTACTTGATTTTTTTTTACTTTAAAAAAATTTTTACATTGGGGGAAAATACATTGTTCTATATAGGTTGGTTCATTTAATCAAAATTTTTTGTTTCTTGATTGTGCTACATATAAAATTATTATATAAGGTGACAGAATGTGAAAAGGGGTGCTGAGATTTAAGTATAAGTCTTCACAGTAAAAGCTAGTATTTTATATAATTTATTAGACCACTTTCTTTTACCTTGTACCTTATTAAAGTGTTACATTGATTTAATAGTTCTAAATTTTATAAAGAATCTCAGGTTTTTATTTCTCTTTTATTTTTAATTATACAAGAAATACATGCTGACTATAAAAATTTCTTAGAATCCGTAAGTCCACTTCCACCTTTGATCACACTCCTCTCTCAAAAGGTAGCCACTTTAACATTCTAGTATATTTTTTCCAGAAAAGTTATATACACATCTGTGATATGGTTTGTAAACCTTTTTACAAAGAGTCATTATATTTTCAAGCCTTAGCATAATTTTCAGTTCTTAAAAACTCAAAAGCATATTGATGTTACTCAATTTTATTTATGTCTTATTTACTTTTCTGTAAATAGATACAACTCTTTAAAAATGTAGTCAATTCCCCAACTTTTATGTCATTCTTTAAAAACATCAACCTTCTCAAGACAATAAATACTGCATTTTGTACCAAACAATCTTTTAATTTCAGCATCTGGAACATAAAATGATGGGCCTGCATGTTTAGTGGATCATAAGAAAAGAACAGGCATGAGGTAGTGAAACCCTTTTCTAATTAGGGATAGCACTATATCACATAGCGTTCTTGATCATCTAGATTAATTGCAACTAATACTCTTCTTTCTACTCTGTCCTATAGGGTCGCTATGAGTTGGAATCAATTAGACAGCAATGGGTTTGGTTTGGGGTTTTAATGCTCCTCTATCCCAGATCTGGTTAAATGGGCCATTATTTGCTCTGGGAAGATTAAACATGCTGCGCAGCATAATGCAATGTTTCCTGAAAAATTCAAATATTTCGGCTCCAGAAATTTTGGTGATTGATTCTTCTGACTAAGTGAGATTCTGCTCTGTAAAAATTCCTGTATCCCAAGTTCACTTATTTCTGCACCACTACACTGCGTCCCTAATCTGCCTACCATCTCATTTCAAATGCTTTTCCACAAAGAGGAAAAAGATACCCTGAGTCCACTCTTGTAGTTAAGAAAAGTATCTAATGTTTCTTTAATAGTTGATATCCTTGTTCTTGATGAAATACAATTTTGTAGTTCACCTACTTTCTTGCCATTCTTCCAGAGTTGGTATTCAATTTTTTCTGTACCTCAGTATCAGAATGCTCTTTAATTTCAAATGAAGTTGTTATATCATCCATAGTTTTGTAGATACCTTTGCCTCACATGGAGATATGATTACAGTTTTATTATAGCAAAAATGATGCAAACGAAGAGACACATAGGGCAAGGTCAGGAAGGGTTCCATCACAGAACTTCTAAATCTTAAAATGGGAAGTGCTACCCTCCCACATGCATTGATGTCTTTCACCAACCAGGAAGTCCCCATTAATTGATTACTGGATATTAAACCAACCTTGCGTTCTAGGGATAAATCCCCCTTGGTCATGGTATACAATCCTTCTTATATGTTTCTGGATTTGGTCTACTAATATTTTGTTAAGGATTTTTGCATCTGTATTTCTGAAGTCTATTGGATATCCTTGTCTGGCTGTGATATCAGAATAATACTAGCCTCACAGAATAAGTTGGGAAGTGTTCCTTCTTCCTCTATTTCCTTGAGGAGTTCATGGACTATTAGTATTATTTCTTTTTAGCTATTTAATAGAATTCTCCACTAAAGTCATCTGGGTCTGGGCTTTTCTATGTGGGAATATTTTTAATTACTAATTGAATTTCTTTTCTTGTTACAGGTTTATTCAGATTTTCTCTTTCTTTTCAAGCCAGTTTCAGTAATTTGGGTATTTCTAGAAATTTGTCCATTTCACCTAAGTTGTCTAATTTGCAGGCATAAAGTTGTTCCTCATGTTTCCTTACAATCTTTATAATTTTTAATACTGAGTTTGGAGGTCAGTGTCTTCTCACTTATTTTTCTTAGTATATCTAATGGCTTATCAATTTTGTTGATCTTTACAAAGAACCAACTTGCTTGCCTTAGTTTTGTCTATCGTTCTTTTTCTTATTTTATTGATTTACACTAATTTTTATTATTTACTTCCTTCTGCTTCCTTTGGG